AGACAAGTCCTAAAGAATTTAAAATGGATGAAAATAAGTGTATATTCAAATTAGAATGGGAGATAAGTTGTTAAAAGAAATGAAACATAACAGGTAGGCAATACTGAAGCTGTCCAATTAAAATACATTTTATAAAACTTAAAAAAATAAGAGGAAGCTAGCGAAGGGTTGTGTTTAACATAGTCAGAGAATTGTTGTTACAAAAATCTGTAGGATTTCAAACTGGAAAATTGTTTTCTTTGTAAAAAAATGGTAACACTGGATGAGACTGAAGCTTTGTGTCTGCATGAAACCAGTGGATATACAACATTGTGAGGATTTCCCTGTGTAAGGGTCCAGGGAAGATGCAAGTGTGCAGTGCAGGTGACATAACAGCTCTATGACACCCTGTCTCTGACCCAGGCACAGGGACAGTGGTGTAGATGAAGTAGCCCTATACTTTAGTTATTCCAGCTTCCTTTATCCTTATCCTTTTATCCTGTTATCAATAAGAGCTTCCAAATTCAAATCACTGTGTTTTACACATTTGCTTTAAAGGCAAACTGCAGCCTCCCGAGTAATGAAACAGAATATCCCATTTGTGACATGGGAAGCATCTCGGATAACCCCAGTCTGCACTTTTACCAGTTAGTCTACGGAATGAGCATGCTGATCATTATTGTCCTAAGCATCATCAAAGGGTTTGTTTTCACAAAGACAACATTAAAGGCTTCGTCAGTGCTACATGATAATGTATTTTACAAGGTATGGAAGATACATCGATGTAATTGTTATCAAGGATATTTGCCAAAATAAGCTCAAAAAGGATGGAGCATGGTTTAGTAGTTAGTTTTGATGCCTGGGGCCATGGGTTCTGTTTCCAGATCAGCTGCAGCCTTATTGTGTGACCTTAAGCAGTGTACATTCTATGCCGCTTTCTTTATTAAATTATAATGTCTGCCTCCCGCACCAGATCACTGTCAACTTTAAATGAATGTTCACAAAGTGCTTAGAGCGTCTCCGATGAAAGACTCTGTAAATGCAAACTATTATTTCCTGTAACCTGGGCCTCAAATGATTCTGATGAGGGAAACTGCCAGTTCACTAGCACTGTGCAGTGAGATAGAAACACCACACAAGTTTTCAGCTTCCTCTGAAGCATCAGATAGTGGTCTCTGCTGAAGGCATTTTTACTGAACAAAAAAGGCAAAAGGGTAAAAGGTTCAAAAGTGACATCTGAATTCAAATCCAAATGGAAATCACGCCAGGCACCAGAGTCGAAGGGTCAAAGGGTAACATTTTTGAAAAGCATCTAAATTCAATCTTCAGAAGTGATGTAGTCACCTAAAGATGCACATAGTAGCCTAGTGGGCTTTACAAAGGTGCTGAAGCATCTAAGTTGTAGGTGGTGATGCCGTGGGTGCTCCAGCCCTGCAGCACCCTTGGAAACAAATGGTAGAGCTCAGCTCTCACTGGCAGACAAAACCAACCAGCTCTTCCTCTTCTCTCCCCTCAGCACCTCCTGCCTGCCACTGGTATGTGGCATGCAGGGGTCTGGCACTGGGTGGGACAGGAGCAGGAAAGGAAGGAATGAAGGTGGGGCCTGCATGGGGAAAGGACGGAATGGGAGGAGCAAGAACACAGCAGGGGCAGGAAGAGGCAATGTGGGGGTAGGCCCCTGGAGGAAGGGATGGAGTGGGGGCAGAGCATGGGTTGGAGTGGGGGCAGAGCCTAGGGAAAACAGCCTGTGATCTAGGCACCTAACTTGCTTTGGTGCTTTTTTTTTTAACATGTATAAACTCCTAAGTCATTCGGGTGCTTTTAAAAATTTTACTTCATTACCTTAATCTAGTGTGACCTGTCCTATGATCTTATATTTTATGACACCTTGATTCAGCAAAGTGCTTAATTAAGTGCCCAGCTCTGAGCAGATGAGTAGTCCTGTTAAATTCAGAGGTACTACTCACCTGCTTTGAGAGGCAGGATAAGTGATGCAATATTTTTTATTGGACCATCTTCTGTTGGTGAAAGAGACAAGCTTTCAAGCTTACAAAAAGTACTTCTGATCTGAAGAAGAGCTCTGTGTGGCTTAAAAGCTTGTCTCTCTTACCCACAGAAGTTGGTCCAATAAAAGATATTACCTCACTCACCTTGTCTCTAATCTCCTGGGACTAACATGGCTAACACAACACTGCAAACACCTGCTTTGAAGCAGACATCTGTTTAAGCACCTTGATGAATCAGAGCCTATATAGCTTATTACAATTATTCCTTTTAAAGTGTACAGTAGATCCTCAGCATTCTGATTTTCATGTGCATTTACTTTGTTATGTTATGATCATGACAACGGGAAATAAGCCTTAAGAAATATTTATTCTATTTTCAAAGGCTGCTTCACAAACACTATCTGATATTGTAAAAGCTACAATACATTTGTTTGCTGTTCCTTCTATTTACATTTTAGCTAAGATTATACTGATATTTACTTTACCACACATACTCTGAATATTGCAAAAGACAAAAACTGTCATTTGATTCTGCTGTTTCTCTTTACCCACAGATCTTACTGAGTCCAATGAGTTTCTTTGATACAACTCCCACTGGCAGGCTAATGAACCGTTTTTCTAAGGATATGGATGAATTGGATGTGAGACTTCCATTTCATGCAGAGAATTTTTTGCACCAGTTTTTTATGGTGTTCTCTATTGTAATCATAATAGGCATTGTGTTTCCTTTCCTCCTAATTGCAGTGGTTATCCTAACTATTATATTTGTGATTCTCTTTCAGTAAGTTGATGTGCTAGTTCTTTAAAAACTATTTTAAGAATTTTTATTCTCCTTGCGGTCCAGCCAGTAGCAATTGTAGTTCTCCTGTTAATCTGTTGTTGAGTTTCTGTTTTGTAAAGGTTTACTGGAGTGTGAGAACTATAAGAGCCAGTATCGCATAAAACAGGAACAGCCAGTGGAAACTAGGAAGCTGTTAGATATTTACTGCCTTTTATACTAGAGGCTAAATTAAATCTTTAGCTTTTCTTGGCTTTTGCCAATATAGGCCGCGGTCCTTGGTCTGCCCAACATGATGTTACAGAGGAACAAGTTTCCACAACCTTCCTTCAGGTTACAGGTCTATAATTAGGATCAAAAGCCACAGAAAGAGGCTAGGTGGGCAAAAGAGGGCATAGCCAAGGTATCCTGCAATGAGTCAATTTAGCTTATGCTATGTAGTTTCCAGCAATGGGGAAGGTATGGAGCCCTGACGGCAGCTTCAAGCCACACCCTCACGGTGGACGCATCAAGCCACAGTCCTGGAGGACTGGGGTTCAATGGGACGCTGATGCTGCTTAGTCTCCTCTCCCCAGACATGTGTTCTGGCCACACGTTGCACGTTTTCATGTGCTTCTCGTTCCTTCTGCACCTGGAAGTAGAGGGGATGATATTACTCATTCCGTTTTCAAAATCTGCTGTCATACTTCAGTACTCATAAATGCACTAGTGATGAAAGAATATGATATACATGAAGGACTGGGTTGTGTCTGGCCTCTCACTGGGAGGCAGACAGGATACATGTAGCCAATATTTTCAAATGTGAGTAGTGATTTGGAATACTCAGTTTGAGACACCTAGAAAGGACTTAATTTTCATAAAATAGAAAGCATCCTGTCCCTTTAAGACAGTGGTTCCCAAACTTTTCGGCATCAGGCCCCTTTTTTGATTTTGGAGAAACCCTCACACCACCCCCTCTCAAAAAACTAGCAGCAAAACTTGGGGTGGGATTGATGGGTGTGTGTGTGGCTGGGTCGCCTTGCACCCACTCTGGACATTCTTCATGCCCCCCCGGGAGGACCCTGGACATTCTTCATGCCCCCCCGGGAGGGCACGGCCCCCAGTTTGGGAACCCATGCTTTTAAGATATGTCAAATTGGGCACCCAGTCCCTTCTGATTATCCAGTTCTTTTAAAATATCTCAAATCGGGCAACTAAAAATGGAGACAGGAAGCACCCACAATTTCTACTTGCTTTAAGTTTAGACAAGGAGCTTCCATTTGCACTCCAGTGACAGGGCCAGACCCTGCTACTGTCCTTCATCTCAGGCCACATCTCCACTTGCCGCACCAGACATCAAACTTCTGCTATTTGATTTACTGGGTCTGGTTAAGACCTGCTAAATTGAATGCTGAGGGCAAAGAGTAAGGGAAGTTAGTGGGAGCCTTTCGTCCCAACCCCACTCCCCAGCAGGAGCAGTGGGTAGGCAAAGTAGGGCAAGCCAAAACATTTTATAATAGAACATTGTGCAACTTTAAACTAATATGTTCTCTAGTGGATCAGCAACCTTGTAATAAAACAGTATTAAACAGGATCATTTTAACTGAGGAATTACTGCACTAGCTTTAGCCAAGAGGCTGTGATGTATATAATTTGCATGCTGACATATAAACATGCACAATATAATTTTGCTTTCATTTTGTTGCAGAATTTTTCAGACAGCCATCAGAGAACTAAAAAGAATGGAAAATATTAGCAGATCTCCATGGTTCTCACACATTACCTCCTCTGTGCAAGGCCTCAGTATAATTCATGCTTATAATAAAAAAGAAGACTATATCAACCAGTAAGATGCACACATGACACTTATATCTTCTTTGTTTCATTTGTGAATCTGATATGGACAGATAACACTTCATGGTTATTCTTTACTTGATTGTGGATATTGTTGCCTTGTACATGCAGTGACACTAGTGTAACCAGATGTCCTGATTTTATAGGTACAGTCCTGATATTTCAGGTAGCTAAAAGGGTGTCACAGGAAGGAGGGGGTTGGGAGAGGAATTGTTTGCCTTGGCTTCTGAAGATAGGATGAGAAGTAATAGGCCTAAACTGCAGCAATGGAGGTTTAGGTTGGATATTAGGAAAAACTTTCTGTCAGAGTGGTTAAACAATGGAATAAATTGCCTAGGGAGGTTTTGGAATCTCCATCACTATTTAAGAGCAGTTTGGACAGACATCTATCAGGGATGATCTAGATCAGTGGTGCGCAATCCATGGGGCGTGACCCCCAAGGGGATCACAAATGTCTTCCCAGGGGGTCATGGCATTTAGATCTGGCCGGCCAGAGGCTGCGTGCGGCCACATGGTGCTTAGATCCGGCTGGCCAGTTGCTGGGTGTGGCTGCACAGCACGGCACTTAGATCCAGCTGGCCGGGGGCTGGGCACAGCCACATGGCACGATGCTTAGATCCGGATGGCTGGTGGCTGGGCTCGGAGGTTGGCGGCCCCCACAGCACAGCACCTAGATCTGGCTGGCCAGGGGTTGGGCCCGGCAGTTGGAGGACAGATCAAAAAAGGTTGTGCATCACTGATCTAGATGATGCTTGGTCCATGAGGGCAGGGAATTGGACTTGATCTCTCAAGGTCCATGCCAGTTCCAGTATTCTATGGTTCTATGATATATGGAGTATTTTCTTATATATGCACCCACTTCTTGTCCTGATTTTTTACACTTTTCATCTGGTCACCCTAAGTGACACTGATGAAACCATTCTGTTCTTACAATACAGACTAGCAAAGATCCTGCAAGCTTTTCATTTTCATAAAATGAGAACCCATGGTGATGCTCCTAGTTTGTACCATGGACTCGCAGAAGACTTTCACATATACAGCACTGTATATCTGTGTCCACTTTTGAACATTGTGTAATTTTTTACTTTCTAAGTTTTTAGCAATTTCTAGGATTTGAGTTAAAAGCCAAGAGGCAATGAGTTCTCACTGGTGGGTTCCCAAATTGATCTAGACCCACACATACTGACTTTTAGGATTTGATTTGTCACGTATGATCAATTGGACCATGTTAGATCTATTCTCCAGAACTCATGACAAGCCTTGCTTAGTTTGTTTGAAAATTCAGACCCTGGAGTCCCTGCAGTTCCAAAGGGAAGCTCCAGCTTGCCCCATATGTCACCTGATTTTATCTTACATTTTTTTTCAATGATCAGTGACCTGTTGTCTCCAGTAGTCCAATGGCTGCTTCTCTGTGTACCTTCTTTTTATTCTGTAAGAATAAATCCAACAGCCCCTTCAGCTCCTAGTAGTCTATCAAAGCAAACTATTGCTTTCACTGTCTCTTCTCCATCCATCCATCCTGGCAATGGTCTGACTGTCTCTGGTCCTTAGTTGAGGGTACAAGGAGAATCAGTTTCTGCATGTGTGGGAATACATGGACTACACCGGTGTCCTCTCAGGGGAAATAAAAGGCGCAGAAAGGCAGGGGCAAAGAGCAGCTCATACATTCCCAATATGTCTGAGAGAAATGGATGATTTCTCCGTGGGTCTAGATAAATTCATGGAGGTTAGGTCCGTCAATACTTATTAGCCAGGATGAGTAGGAATGGTGTCCCTAGCTTCTGTTTGTCAGGGATCACTTGATCCCTCTTGGGTATCTGGTATTGACCACTGTCAGAAGACAGGATACTGGGCTAGATGGACTTTTAGTCTGACCCAGTATGGCCCTTTTTATGTTCTTATGGTCTGACTATACTGAAAAACTGCATCTTGTCAGAACGCAGATTAACTAATACAATGTTAAGCACAACGTGGCATTGATCAGAGAAAAGGACCGTGGTGTTTTACATCATGTCATGTGGACTTTGAGGTTAACCCATCTGCATTAAAGATCTGATTTTCATTTATGTTTTTGGCTCTTTACAGAGCATAAAACACATATAAATACTTTAAGGAAAAAAACAATGAATATATGTTAAGGTTCCTATACATTCCAAGAGCTCTTAAAATCTGCACACAGTCTGGCCCAAACAGTATTTAGGGCTTAGGTTCAGGTACATCATTTCTGTTTCTGAGGAAGGGATTTCTGGAAGCCTCATTTTAGAAAAATGTTGCAATTCCTGAATAATTCACGCCGAGCTGTGGTATCTCCTGTTTTACTCAATTGTGTTTGCATAATATTTTAAGTAGAATAAAATATGCATGAAGGCTATCATAAAAATACCTACATCACTGACTCACTAGGAGTAATGGAACTTGTGTGTTTACATGTTAAAAACTTCTTTTAGATTATCAGAAATGTTCATCTATTTTAATTTCAGGTTTAAAATTCTAAATGATGAAAACTGCAGTCATTTTCTGTTGTTTAATTGTGCACTACGCTGGTTTGCGGTCAGAACAGATATCCTCCTGACTTTGATAACCTTCGCTGTGGCATTATTTGTTGTTTTGAGCCCTTCTATTATTAGTACTGCTGCAAAAGGCTTGGCTTTGTCCTATATTATCCAGGTAAAAGTATTTTTTTTATATCTTGGGTTAACATTTGTTAATTGTTAGTACATATACATTTCTTATTCTAGCCATTCTTTATCTTAAAATGCAGTTTAAATATTATATTCAGTTGAAGCAGACTCTACCACCTTTACTCAGGCTGGCAATACTGGATTGGATTTTGAAATCAATGAATCAAGATATTACTCAGCGTGATAAAGAATGGCAGAATCGAGAACATAGGGAAATGAAAAATGGTTCACATTTTGGAAAGAGATGAGAGACAAATTGTACACATGGTTAATTTGTGTAATGGTATTACCTAATCCTCATTTCACTGCATCTTACCTTCCATTATTTACTAACTCATTTATAATGTCTTCTTTTAAGTTAGATTGCTAATATTTCAAGGCAGGGACTGTGTCTTCCTATGTGTTTGTACAGCACAGTCGGCACCTGGATATTGATTAGGGCCTTTATGTTCTACTGAACAATATTTAAGTATATAATTCCAAACCATGTGTATTTAGTAGATGAATGTTAAATATTCCTTAGTTTAATATAGAATTTGCATGAGAAAATGATATCAAGATCATTTGCAAAGTACAAAAAGGAATGGGAGTTGTTTATTTTTAATGGCAAATGAAAATAAATTCTATTTTCTTCTTTAAAAATCACAGTAAACCATCCCAAATCTTACACACTTAGGGTAGCACTTTTATTTTCACAACTCTTTTCAGAAAAGTAATAGAAATATTTCTAGCCATAATAAACTCTTAGTAGCCCACCACTTTTGTTCATGACGTTTAAAGCTCATACATCTATTAAAAATTAGTGTGTAAAGAACACATATACCAATAGCTTTTACTGCTGGATTAATGATACGTTGCCAAAATGTATTTTAAATGTTACAAATAAATATGAAAAATGTAGATTTAAAAATATTAATTATTCCTAAATGTCAGGGTAGTTAAGATGTCATGAAAAATATGAATATATTTATAACACATTTCATTGACTACCGAATATCTTCTAGCAATGAGCAGAAAGGCCAAAAAAATGCAAGACTCGCATGTCAAACTGTGAAAGATATTTTTCCAGTTGCTTCGTCTTGGCAAGCTCCACAGGCAGTTGTATTAGCTTTGAAACCACCTCAGGATCTATCATTGAGCTGTGCTGATGATTAGCTTGTGTTCAGTCTCCTAAACACTTTTTTTAAAATTAATTATGCACTTTTCTTTCTTTTCTAGAGCTACTGCAGATAGAAGTGAATAGAAAGTGACTTCCCACAGTGCACTGGGCTAAATTCCAAAGGCCATAGCCTGTCATGTGGTTCATGTGTACTTTTTCAAATGCCTGTTACATACAAAGACAATTAGAGAGGGAGGAACTCATGGCATACAGTTGTGTATGAAGTTTTTAAACTTCTCAAAGGAATGAAGAATTGGCACAGCTGTGGGCTAGATTGTGCCTAAAAGCTTTACGGTGGAGTGGGCATGGAGAGACTTCTCTATAGCAAGATCCCCCATGAAATACTGGCTGAAATAAGCAAATATATTAGACACATTTGCACACCTATCTTTGGAAGGTCAGACTGTAAGGGATTGATTTTTAAAGCCACAAAGGGCAATTAGTCACTCAAGTCAAACTAAAAATCAGTGGAAGTTGTATGGCTAACTTCCCTTTGTGCTATTGACAGTCACACACTAAATAACCACTATCAGATGCATTACTTATTAGACAAAAAGAGATTTCCTATGAAGCTCTGGATAATGGTCAGGAAAAGAGCCATCCTAACCCTTATGCAGAAAATGCAGTTGTGTAGAGCACCCCAAAATTTGGGGCACCATTGGGTCTTAATGCGCATCCACCTTCTTCTTCCTATCCCTGTTCTGTGGTTCTGACTCCTCCAAAGAGGATCTAGGGCCAGGCTTATGCTAAAGGGGAAGGTCAAATTAAGATATGCAACTCCAGCTACATTAATTACGCAGCTGGAGTTGACATACCTTAGTTTGAGTTTCCCCGCCATCTGCACAGCAGGAGGCCAAAGTGACCAAATGCTCCCATCAGCTTCCCTAACTCCTCACAGGAGCAGGAGTACTGGCTGCTTACGGTGGCACCCTCTGAGTTTGATTGTGCGGGTCTTTACTAAACTTGCTAAATAAAACTCTGGGAAATCGATTGTGGCAGCATCAATCTTCCCCCTAGTGAAGGCATGGCCTAGTTATCTTAAAAGTGAAAAAGCCTGCCCGATCTATTAGCAGAACATCAAATCCGTGAAAGAGTCATTCAAGTGTAATGAAGCCATTCAACAGGCATTTGCCAATCCTAGATATATACTGTCAGTCTCTGAATTTACAGTGTTAGTCCACAAGATCTTAGTTTAAAATCTGTATTAAAGTATTTCATTAGTGTATTGCTGAAGATTATAAAATCACATCTCTCAAAAGTAATTGTCCCACCTTCCTGGCTGCCATAGGGCAATCAGTTTAATAATACTGCACAGGGCCCCATAAATCCTAAAGGACAGCCCTAATCAGAAGCATTCAGTAAGCTAATATGAATATGAATATTAATGAGTTTGTTATTGTTTAGGCCCTTTTCTTGCAAAGACTTGTGATACATGCTCAACTTTATGCATATGAATATTTCCCTAAAGTTTTGTTGTTGTTTTTTAAATAGTTGAGTGGACTTCTCCAACTATGTGTAAGAACAGGAACTGAGACAGAAGCTACATTAATTTCCGTTGAACAGATTCAAGAATATGCCTTGGTAAGAAATACATCTAAATGGGGCATTAAAACCACTGTGTGTGTAAATATTACTGAAATTTTTTAACTATCATTTAATGACTTTGTGGATCAATTAAATGTTTTCTCCCTTTCCCCCTTTCTTGTAGACATGCGCTCCTGAGGCCTCCCAGAAGCCAGAATTAGTGAAATCTCCCCAAAACTGGCCAGATCATGGGGCTATCACATTTAAAGACTACCAGATGAAATACAGAGACAATAGTCCTGTGGTTCTCAATGGCTTAAATATGAGCATTCACGGTGGAGAAAAAATCGGTATCGTTGGAAGAACAGGCGCTGGTAAGATATATCATTTTGACTTCCTCCTACCCTGATTTCTCACTGGTCCTCCATGCTACTTAAGTACATATTTGTGAGAGTTCACTGTTTTCTAAGGGCAGTTTATCTGTAAATTGTGATTTTACATTAAAAGGACTCAGTTCTGCCATTAAGGATATGTCCACACAGCAGTCTTATGTTGACATGGACATACTATGGTGGCTGATGTCTCCTCCTGTTGGTGGTGCATATCCCTACCAAGAGTGCTTCCACCCAATAGAAAGGGGCACTGTGGGGGGCTGAGAGCCAGTGCTCTCAGTTCTGCATAGCTCCCTGCTAGCTACTCCCCAGGTTTTTTGCCTCCAGCAAGAAAATCCTGCCTGGATTGTCTGTTGTGTTCCAGGTCAGGAATAGGAAATTGGGACCCCGAAGTAGAGGGTAGCAGAACTTCTCACAGAAAGTAGGGAGCTTGGGAGGCATCCCAGGCCGTGAGCCTGGGTGGCAACCAGTTTGAAGCAGCAATCTGTGAGGTGAGTATTGAGAGCCACAGACAAATAAGTGACCATCATTTCCTTTATTTGGAGACAGACTAGCAATTTTCATCAACAACTGGAAGCTTATTACATTGGACAGGTGTGTTCTAGAAATTAGAGAGGAGGGGTAAGCCATACAACTAAAAAAAACTACAGTCTTTCATTTCTCCCGATCTCTTCCTTTACAGAGAATTGTTCCATGAAGCTTTTCTTCCAAACTGCTTATTTGAAGTGTTGTCAAAGAGATACCTAACCATCATTGTTGTCAGGAAGTTTATTCAAGATACTTCCTGGTACAGGAAGAGATGAGGGATTCTGTTCAATTTTAGATCTGAGAAAACTGAACAAATACATTTGGAAGTTCCAGTTTCTAATATTATCCTTGGCCTCCATAAATAAATCCCTCACTTTCAATTATGGATTGGTTCACAACTCTTGATTTAAAGAATGAATATTTTCATATTACAATCCAGCTAAGCCTTGGTTTTGTTATGATCCAGCAACACTTTCAGTGTCAAATCCTGCTTTTTGGCCTCTCTACAGCACCAAGAGTCTTTACAAAGTGACTCTCTGTAGTAGCAGTGCATTTAAGAAAGCAGGGTATATTTGTTTACCTATATTTGGACTGGTCACTGAAGTCTTCTTCATGTGGGGGCCTGCTACTTCATATAAACTTCACATTCCCCCTACTTAGGAATCTAGGAATGCTTCTGAATATAAAAACAATCTTTTTTATCTCAGTTCTACCATTTACTATTTTTCATACAGACAAGGTAGTTCTTAGAATTGGCCCTAAGTTTCTACAAAATAGTATCTGAATTTAACTTCAAACTATTATTTCCCCTAATTCTTTTTCCTTAGCCCACATGCTAATGAAGGGAATTTGGAGTTACATATTTTAAATGCTAGAAGAATGCTCTCATGTTATTAAAATAGAACAAAGTTTTAGAAAGTCATCTAGGTTATTTCTCTCTTATGATAAGACTCCCATGGGTAATAGTGTATCTATTCAGACTATGTCCAGATCAGTTAAATAATGTTTCATTGACTGTTATAAGTTAGGGGCAGTTCCTGTGCCAGTTATTGTGAAGTTTCATTCAACTAGAGCAACGGTAACATCTCTTGTGTGCTTTAAACATGTTTCTATTGGAAAAATCTTTCCAGCTGCTACACAGAGAGGAGAGTCTGTACTTTTACCAGTAATTATGCATTAGATTTTACTTCAAGAGCAATGCCAGAGTTAGTAAAGTTGTGCTTCAATCACTATTTGATAAGGACTCTGTTCCCTCTTAGTGAAATCTCATCATGCCTGCCAAACTATCCATATGTATGTATATGCTGAGTCATGCAAAGAAGTAGTGAGGGTTGGATACTTGTAACTGGAATTCTTCAAGAGAACTCCCCATGTGCACACCACAACTGTTACAAATAAGTAACCTTTCCCTCTTTCTCAGAGTCTTACCTTTGTGTACGTCTATACTGCACACTTGTTTCAAAATATGCTATTCTGGGATAGTTATTCCAAATTAGCTTATTTTGAAATAGCATGTCTACACTTCAGGGAAGCCTCAAAATTAGTCCGAGGCAGGCTTCCCTAATGTAGATACGCTATCTTGATTTAGAGTCCTAGGAGGCACTGGGGAGATTGAAGCACAACTCTACTGGGGTGTGTCTAGACTACATGCCTCCGTCGACGGAGGCATGTAGATTAGCCAGATCGAAAGAGGGAAATGAAGCCGCGATTATTTTAATCGCGGCTTCATTTCCCTCTTTCGATCTGGCTAATCTACATGCCTCCGTCGACGGAGGCATGTAGATTAGCCAGATCGAAAGAGGGAAATGAAGCCGCGATTATTTTAATCGCGGCTTCATTTCCCTCTTTCGATCTGGCTAATCTACATGCCTCCGTCGACGGAGGCATGTAGATTAGCCAGATCGAAAGAGGGAAATGAAGCCGCGATTATTTTAATCGCGGCTTCATTTCCCTCTTTCGATCTGGCTAATCTACATGCCTCCGTCGACGGAGGCATGGAGTCTAGACACACCCCTGGTGAGGGGCTATTTCGAAATAGCAGCAGTGGAGCATCTACACATCCCTTATTTAAAAATAGCTATTTTGGAATAGGCGTTATTCCTTGTAGAATGAGGTTTACAGATTTCAGAATAAGCCGTCTGTTATTTCAAAATTATTTTAAAATAACAGAATGGCTGTGTAGACAATCTCATTGTTATTTCAAAATAATGCTAGTTATCTCAAAATAACAGTGCAGTTTAGACACACCCATGGGTTGGTAGCAGAAGGAACTAAAGTAGAAGGGGGCAAACCGCTATCTTATTTAGACAGCCCTTAGAACATTTGAGGATACTGAGATGGCAACCCATGTGCACTCTAGTGGACACAACTTGGAGAGAAGTTTCTACCACTAGGCAGCATGAGATGGCATGCTACCCAGTAAGTGGGAATATACAAAGTCTTCTCAAAGAACTCTGGTTATAAGTATGGATCCTTAATTTATAATTAACATTATTAGGAAACTGCTCACCCATTCAGCAAAGAGCTCAAGAATGAATAAGCCTGGAGGATGAACTTACCCCTCACTTTCAAAGTGAAACAGTACGGATCACTGTGTTTTAGCAATTTGCACTGCTGCTAACTGCAATAACTGATCTGTGAAGAAAACAGAGTTCAGATCACACATATAGCAGACTTATAACTTTCTAGCTAGACTAAACTTGTCTTTAATCATTGTTTATAAAAGTCAAAATTTGTCTTAATAGTATTTTGTTTGTCCCCTAAAGGAAAATCATCATTAGGAGTTGCATTGTTTCGACTAGTAGAACCAACTGCTGGTACTATCCTAATTGACAACGTTGATATCTGTACCATTAGTTTGGAAGATCTAAGAACAAAGCTCTCTGTTATTCCTCAAGACCCTGTTCTGTTTGTAGGTACAGTAAGGTACTTGTTCCCTACAATTGTAAATTAACATTTTTGGTAAAGTGAAAGCTCATTAAATCATAAACTGAGGGGCTCGTGGTAAACTGATTATGAGTAATTATTTCTTAATTAGCAATTCAATAGTACTGAGAAGACCTGAGAACCGAACCCCATTATGCTATATAGACACATAGTAAGAAAAGCTGATAGTATAAACAGGCATAATGGTAAATTATTGTTCCCATATTACAAATGAAGAAGTGGGATGCAAGTAAGCTAAGGGTAAGTCTACACAGCAGTTGAGAGTTCAATTTCTAGCCCAAATAGATATGCAGGCTGTAGCTCTGCTCTAGATAGCATCTAAAAATAGCAATAGAGCCGCAGCAGAATGGGTAGTGACTCAGCCTAGCCACCCAAGTCCTTACCCAGGGTGTTGTGGGAGACTGTATTCTGGCAGCTAGCTCAAGCTGCTGGGTCACATAGGTTCTCTGAGGTGCCAGCTACAGCAGTAGTAGTGCATGTCTGTCTACCCATGGAGCAAGGTCCCCTCCCAGCCACCTAACAGCATGGCCCCACAGCCACTCCATGAACACCACCCATGGTCTCAGGGCTGCTACACACAGAGCTGCTTTGTTAGGGGAGGGCCACGTCTTCCTCAGCTACAGGAGCAACTACCTGCTGTGGACAGAGCAGTGAGTCTCTCCCAGCCGGTAGGGAGGAGATGTGTCCCTACCAGCTGGGAGACACTAGCTGGTCTGTCCTCAGCAGAGAGTTGCTGCTGTAGCTGAATGCCCTTCCCCCAGTCAGGCAGCTCTGTGCATGGAGCCATGAGCCCCTGGCTGAGTGGGGTTCATTAAGCAGTGGTGGGGGCTGTGCTTCTACACAGCTGAGAGGGAACATTGCCATGAAGGAAACTGTGTTTCTCAGTTGCCATGTAGACATATCCTAAGACAAGTGACTTGCCCAAGGTTATACAGGAAGTCTGCGACAACCCTAGGAATTGAACACAGATCACTTGTGTCCAAGTCCAGAAATCCTCACTGAATCAACTTTTTGAAAATACGAGTTTGATAAAATTATACACAGAACACCTGAAATTTCCCCATTTACCAATATGAATAATGGCTTGTGAATAGGAGGGAACTAACCACTAAACATCCCCCATATTCATTGGAACAGAATTTGTTAAGTCTCAGATATATCAGCTTGAGCAGCTCACCATAATCTCAAGCTTAATGTGGGCAAAGCTAAGTCATTAGCTTTCACTCTATACCCTAGCCATTCCTCATTAAACTTGATACCACCACTCTTCCCTGCCCCTATTCAATTTATCTAAAATGTCACTGCCAAAAATCACCTTTTTGGCAGTCACTTCAAACACTCTTCTTTAGATTGTTTTCCTGGTTTCTCACTATACTTTTCTTCACGCTCATCCTCTTGTACTTGTCTTCACAGCCTTCTGTCAGACAGTGCTTGTCTACATCTTCAGCCAGGTCTACACTAATCTTTCTCCCATGTCTTCCTTTAGCTTTCAGAACACAGTCATCTTCTTTTACACGACCCTTCATGCAATCTTTCATGCTTCTCTTTAGTATTTGAATATGCTGCCCAGACTTGTTAACCAACATACCTTAAATTCCTTCATAAAAACTTCACTTGGGTGAGAACAGAAGGCATTTGATCGTATTAGCAGTATCACTTGAAACTCTGAATATAGCTATTATTTTTATAATAATATCAGCATATTTATGGACAATCATGAATCTAGAAGTATCAAAAGGACAAACACATTTTGGCCTTCAAACTAGCTAAGAGCTCAGGAATACAATGTATGAAAAATAATTGAAAACATGCATTATAAAAATTATAAGTTCTTTGGCCATTCAGCCACAATATTTCAGGTTTAAAATGTCTTGTGGTATTAATTTACAAAATATTGTTGCTCTATATTGTGGGGGGTTTTTCAATTGTTTTAATTTTTGTCTGTCAGGTACAACCTAGATCCCTTTGATATCTATACAGATGATCAGATCTGGCAAGCTCTGGAAAGAACGTTTATGAAAGAGACTGTACGTTGTTTGGGGTTTGTTCTTAATTCATTTTCTGATAAAGAAATAAATGGGTAGTCATTATTTAATCTTTGGTACTGCATATAAATTATCATGATAGATTGTTATGACATTAATATATAGTGAGGCATTAATATGTAATCTCATTAGTTGTGAATAATTAATATCTACTTACTGAGTTGTTTTCCTTTTTCATGTTATAATGGTAGAATGTTTATTTGAAATATCCAACATTTTTTTTTACTGTCATTAAAATATAACATCCTGATAAATGTATGACCATGCACAATCAATATATATTATAGCATAATATCTATCATCATTCTGTCTTTTTCTTTGTGTTCTAGATATTGAAACTTCCAAGAAAATTACAGGCAGAAGTTATTGAAAATGGAGAAAACTTTTCAGTAGGGGAAAGACAGCTGATTTGTATGTCAAGAGCACTCCTTCGAAATTCAAAAGTAAGTAAAAGGAGAGATTCTGATACTTCCAGCAGTGGTCCTGAATACTTGATAGTCACAATATTTGTTTCCCAACCAATGAATAGGAAAAAAAGATTAAACCTAAAAAGAAACCCACATATGTATTTGTCAGTTTTATAACTAGTTTATGAGTAAAGTCAAGTGAATTGAAATATGGTTTTCTGCATTTCTTATTCGCTGTATTTCATCCAAATTTCTTCCACCTTTTAGACACCTCTTAAATCAACCTGTATCTTCTCATATCAAATATTAAACCTCTTTGATTAGTGGTTGAACACCCATATTCTTTATTTTCCAACAGTATATACCTCTCTCACTAACAATGTCTCTTGCTTGCTTTAATTGCTGCTTTTGGCAATTTGCAGTCACAAAGTCCTGTTAGTTAACAGTGCTCTGAGGACAGGAAGCCTGTGGTCATATTTAATCTATAAAATCTCGGAGCCTGATCATCAACTGGTATAAATCCATTGACCTCAGTAAAGCAACAGTATTTTATACCAGCTGAGACTCTAACCTTTTGTCTTTTGCTTGAAAAAGCATATCTGAGATGTGCCTGTTGCTCAACTACATTTTTTCAAGTGAAAACTTCAAAAGAGGGCTTTGTCTGCAGAGATTCTTTCTCCCCAGAGGAGCACATCCATGCACATATTTTTTATACTCAAATAGGCATTTCCAAACTTCTTTGGAATGAATGTTTAAAACATATAAGGGAGACCAGGAGAATTGGTTCCTGAGAGGAACTAATCCATAATGGGAGTTTGGATTTCCCAGTGTTCTCCGGAAACTAAATAATCTTATTATTTTGATCCATCAGGCTACTCTTCAAGTGTTGACATTGTATAATCTATAAGCCAATAAAGCGGTAACAAACAAGTCCCTATACCTGTCTGTAAAAGCATAAGGACTTTGGTTTGTCTTGAACTTGATATTTTAGCATAAACATGATCAGTGGTGATGTTTCCTGCCATTTTTTTTTAGCAAGGGCCCCATCCAGGTTCCACTCAGTGGAAAGACTTCCATGAACATCATTGAGGGTCAGATCAGTAAATCCTTACTAATGTGTAAGCCTCAAGATCTTGAGTACCTTTCATTTCAATAATGCTAGGCATCTATAGTCACTGGGTACTGTTCTATACAAATATCTGGATCCATTTTTAATGCTACAAGTCATAGAATCATAGAACCATAGGACTGGAAGGGACCTCGAGAGGTCATCGAGTCCAGCCCCCCGCCCTCAAGGCAGGACCAAGCTCCGTCTACACCATCCCTGACAGATGTCTATCTAACCTGTTCTTAAATATCTCCAGAGAGGGAGATTCCACCACCTCCCTTGGCAATTTATTCCAATATTTGACCACCCTGACAGTTAGGAATGTTTTCCTAATGTCCAATCTAAACCTCCCCTGCTGCACTTTAAGCCCATTACTCCATGTCCTGTCCTCAGAAACCAAGAGGAACAAATTTTCGCCTTCCTCCTTGTGACACCCTTTTAGATATTTGAAAACCACTATCATGTCCCCCCTTAATCTTCTTTTTTCCAAACTAAACAAGCCCAGTTCATGAAGCCTGGCTTCATAGGCTTCTCTAGACCTTTAATCATTCTTGTCGCTCTTCTCTGTACCCTTTCCAATTTCTCCACATCTTTCTTGAAATGTGGCGCCCAGAACTGGACACAGTACTCCAGCTGAGGCCTAACTAGCGCAGAGTAGAGCGGCAGAATGACTTCACGAGTTTTGCTTACAACACACCTGTTAATACAACCTAGAATCATATTTGCTTTTTTTGCAACAGCATCACACTGTTGACTCATATTCAACTTGTGGTCCACTATGACCCCTAGATCCCTTTCCGCCATGCTCCTTCCTAGACAGTCGCTTCCCATCTTGTATGTATGGAACTGATTGTTCCTTCCTAAGTGGAGCACTTTGCATTTCTCCTTATTAAACCTCATCCTGTTTACCTCTGACCATTTCTCTAACTTGCTAAGGTCATTTTGAATTATGTCCCTATCCTCCAAAGAAGTCGCAACCCCACCCAGTTTGGTATCATCTGCAAACTTAATAAGAGTACTCTCTATCCCAATATCTACATCATTGATGAAGATATTGAACAGTACGGGTCCCAAAACAGACCCTTGAGGAACTCCACTTGTTATCCCTTTCCAGCAGGATTTAGAACCGTTAACAACAACTCTCTGACTACGGTTATCCAGCCAATTATGCACCCACCTTATCGTGGCCCTATCTAAGTTATATTTGCCTAGTTTATCAATAAGAATATCATGCGAGACCGTATCAAATGCCTTACTAAAGTCTAGGTATATGACATCCACCGCTTCTCCCTTATCCACAAGGCTCGTTATCCTATCAAAGAAAGCTATCAGATTAGTTTGGCATGACTTGTTCTTCACAAACCCATGCTGGCTATTCCCTATCACTTTATTACCTTCCAAGTGTTTGCATATGATTTCCTTAATTACCTGCTCCATTATCTTCCCTGGGACAGACGTTAAACTGACCGGTCTATAATTTCCTGGGTTGTTCTTATTCCCCTTTTTATAGATGGGCACAATATTTGCCCTTTTCCAGTCTTCTGGAATCTCCCCTGTCTGCCATGATTTTTCAAAGATCATAGCTAAAGGCTCAGATACCTCCTCTATCAGCTCCTTGAGTATCCTGGGATGCATTTCATCAGGACCTGGTGACTTGCTGACATCTAACTTTCCTAAGTGATTTTTAACTTGTTCTTTGTGTATCCTATCTTCTAAACTTACCCTCTCTCTGCTTGTATTCACTACGTTAGGCACACCTCCAGACTTCTCGGTGAAGACCGAAACAAAGAAGTCATTGAGCATCTCCGCCATTTCCAAGTTCCCTGTTACTGCTTCTCCCTCCTCACTAAGCAGTGGGCCTACCCTGTCCTTGGTCTTCCTCTTGCTTTTAATGTATTTATAAAAGGTCTTCTTGTTTCCCTTTATGCCTGTAGCTAGTTTGATCTCATTTTGTGCCTTTGCCTTTCTAATCTTGCCCCTGCATTCCCGTGTTGCTTGCCTATATTCATCCTTTGTTAGTTGTCCTAGTTTCCATTTTTTATATGACTCCTTTTTTATTTTGAGATCATGCAAGATCTCCTTGTTAAGCCAAGCTGGTCTTTTGCCATATTTTCTATCTTTCCTACACAGCGGAATTGTTTGCTTTTGGGCCCTTAACAACGTCCCTTTGAAATACTTCCAACTCTCCTCAGTTGTTTTTCCCTTCAGTCTTGCTTCCCATGGGACCTTACCTACAAGTTCTCTGAGCTTATCAAAATCTGCCTTCCTGAAATCCATAACCTCAATTGTGCTGGTCTCCCTTCTACCTTTCCTTAAGATCATGAACTCTATTATTTCATGATCACTGTCCCCTATACTGTCTTCCACTTTCAAGTTCTCAACTAGTTCCTCCCTATTTGTTAAAACCAAATCCAGAACAGCTTCTCCTCTGGTAGCTTTTTCAACCTTCTGAAACAGAAAGTTGTCTCCAATGCAGTCCAGAAACTTATTGGATAGCCTGTGCCTCGCTGTGTTAGTTTCCCAACATATGTCTGGATAGTTGAAGTCCCCCATCACCACCAAATCTTGGGCTTTGGATAGTTTTGTTAATTGTTTAAAAAAGGCCTCATCCACCTCTTCCACCTGGCTAGGTGGCCTGTAGTAGACTCCTAGCATGATATCACCCTCGTTTTTTACCCCTTTTAGCTTAACCCAGAGACTCTCTACACAGCTATCTCCTACGTTCATCTCCACTTCAGTCCAAGTGTGTACATTTTTAATATACAAGGCAACCCCTCCTCCCTTTTTTCCCTGTCTGTCCTTCCTGACAGAATGTGCTCAGCATGTTTGTCTTAGACCTGCCCACTCTTCCCTGTTGAAGAAACAAAAACATGAACAGGGAAGAACTGTTCATTCTTCTTTTAAAAGACTAGGGGGGCAGTGTCCCCTGCTCTCTCTGCTTCCAAACTCAGCC